CAGCAAGAATTTGATGATTTTCCCTAAGAACGTCATCTGGGTGTTCCCCAGTTTTGCTTCCCATGTACACTACATAAACCTGCCATCCAATCCATATTCCACAGTTCACTTAAGAATCCATAAATCTACTGATCACCATAACCAAAAATGCCACACAAAATCACCACCGTTAGAATTTACCTTGGTAGAGAAGCAAAAGCTAACTTTCGCAACAAGCACAGCCAGAAACAGGAAAAACAAAGCACTGCTTGTGGCATAACCAGAAGAAGACATTGTTAAAGTCTCAACCTTTGGTTACTAAAAGCAGTGTATATATCAGCATACAGTGACAGCAAGAAGAAGTATATAGGACATTAACCAATTCAAGATTCTGAGAATGGAAAAAGGATGATAATAATAAAAAATAAAAGAAAGCCTTGATGGAAAGAAAAGAAGGTGTGGAAGAATCATGGTTGAGGTATCGTCATGATATTGGTGTGTGACATGTGGTAATGTTGAATGAAATTTGTTTTATATAACAACAAAAGGAGGGTAATGAAATGAGGAAACATGGAGTAATAGTAGCAGTGGTGGTGGGAATTAGTGGATAAAGGGAGTTTTAAGATGATGAGTATGAGAGAGAGAGAGAGAGAGAGAGAGAGAGAGAAAAGACAAGGAGAGAAAGAGACTAATGCTCCTGTAACAATGGCAAGCAATCACAAAGCATATTCCAGTTTTTGGTGTCTACTCAAATGTCAATATGACCCTCTTATTCCGGAGACTGTTAAAAGCAATGTAATTCACACTCAAGCTTAGTGGAGCCAAGGTGGCTCAAGGAGCATGTGACCTTCCTTATGTGTTCATTCACCATTTTTATTACACAAAAACCAGAAAAAAAAATAGTATCTTATCTGATCTAATCTAATTAATAGGTAATGATCTGTGAAATCTGTCATTTGCAGAGTGTTCTGTCAATAAATAATTGAAGTGGTATATGACCCAAATCCCAATGCCCAATTGTGAGATTCTTATAATACTTTTTTAAATTGAAAAAAGAAAAAGATTCTTAAGTAATATTACTATAAAAACTTTCTCATGTATAATGTACTAAAATGATGGATGCACTTGGAATTTTTGGACATCATAGTCACCCAACTGTTGAAAGCAGAAGAGACAAAAACGCCTTCATTGATAACCAACAAAAAAAGCTTTCATGAAGACAAATAATGCCTTCACGCCAATGACAGCCAAACACCAACCAAAACGGTAACTCTTCTTTTGCATCAAATATATTCTCAATATCATACAATTACAGGTAAAATATAAATATAAAAAATTAAGCTCAAAGTTCAGAATCTAAATTTTCTCAATTCCGTCTTCTTTTTGTAAATTATAGATATTTCTCACTTATTTTAATGACCAAGACTGATAAACAGAACCTTCAACTCAAACCCAAGTCATATCATAATAAGATTTTCGAAAATTAACTTAGGAAAAAAATGTAAAAAAAAAACTTTATCTTTTAGTGTGCCTCTTTTGAGGGTGATGCAGAGGAACTTTACCGTTACCTGCATCATTGTAATGGAAAATTTCAGAGGCTAAAGTTAACATTTTGATAGATGTATGGTATGCTCTCTCACTTATCTTCACTTAATGATAAAAAATGATTAGCTCACTGGCAGATGCATCATCAATTACCATCATTATCATCGATTTCCCTCAGTACCAGAAAACACAATAATTACTTTCATCAGGGAAACAATAAAAAATTACCTTAATCATCTTAGTACCAACATTTCCACCATAGTCATGTAATTTCCGGAATCTTAAATCACATCATTGCATATTATATTCCCAAAGTTCATGTTTTTATCCAAAGTCTAAACTTATGTGGCCGACAGGTATTTAAAAGAATTTAACTTTTCCAGGGCTTACAATCTTACTGTTCTTCTTTACCCTCATAATAACAATGTAATTATGCATACTTATATAAGTACAAAATTGTATCTTATCTTAATCTTACCATTATGAATGTTAAAGAATCAATTACTTTCTCTCTTAGGATATTAGGACAACCTTAATTCTGTTCTTTTTTATGAACAACTTTGTCATGTGCAAGCCAGCTAGCTAGTACTTACATATTTTACCAATTCAATTTTTATCCCACAGATGATCATTGAATACAGGTTATCATGAACATGAACATGATGGTGTGTTATGATTCTCCAATCATGTGATATACATTTTTTCTCCCGACTAAATATATATCTATATAAATTACCAAGTGCATAAATTTGTTATCAGGTTTTTTTATTTTTTTTTCTTCTGACAGTTGTATTTGATCTGACTTAGATTATTCAGACTCCCCATGTGCATCTAAATTTTGGTTGTGTTAAATTATACAAGCAAGAGGGAACAAATAACACTTGTAATTCTAAATTATATATATAATTCATGACTAATGTAAAATTAAAAAATAAGATTTAATTATGTCACTCTCATATATGTGTAGGTAATCAAATATTAATGGACATCACGTGTATACAAGATTTAGATTTATGTATTGATTAACTTTTGTTTTATGGGAAATGAAATCTTACAGGTAGTCACCATGATAGAAAGTGTTGACCATAATGGAAAATGCACCCAAACCCTATCCTTACATTCGTTACATTATTAATTCATTATATTTTTGTGTTTTTCTTGCATCCCATTAATCATAGGCATAACTTTTTGGTTTAGTATGATGTTGTTTAGCACATGAGCTTAAAGAGAAAGCATAAAAGGGAGTTTATGTAGTGAGGTCTTAGACTTGGATGTATGATGACAAAAGGAGGAGGATCATTTTTATCATAACAAGAGATCTACATCTTATTATGAGAATGTGACTCAATAATATAATAACTTATTCAGGTAAATGCACCAGTGTGCAGAATCACACATGCAGTTCCTATATTTAAACAACTTCATCACAGTATGAAAATTATTTATATGGCAAAGGTTGAAAAAAAAAAAAATATATATATATATATATATATATATATATATATATATATATATATATTACAATGCATTTAATAACAATAAAAATCTATTAAAAGTAAATATAGTTTTGGTCAACTTTGTAGGTGACAAAACAGGTCACCCGGTCTATTTCAGCGGTTCAATAATTATTATTATTCTCATGGCAAACCTGTCAAAGGTTGAAAAAAATATATTTAAATTACTTTTATATCTTGACTTGAGTTTAATAAAAAATAATTATTTTTACATATTAAATTTTATTATAATTAATAATGGAAAATGTATCTTTTAATTCATATTATAAAAGAAAAAGTAATTTTTAAATTAATTTTTATTTTAAATTTAATTTTGAAAAAGTGAATTAATGAATTAAAAAATTAAACTGGACCATCAAATCTGCGGACTAACAAGTCCACCAATCTGTTGGTGCAACTGTGATTGTCATCCTATTCCACTTTGCTTAATCATGATAAAGTTTATCTGTTGAGAATCTTAAATATATATATATATAATAGCATATTGAAAAGAATATTAAAAGTCTTTACCTTGATTTTATATTTTTTACTTTATTATCAGATTCTTTTGACTGCTAAAGTGGGATATAGTGAGAAATAAGGACGAATATTGCATTTTAATTCGGAGAAAATTCATCATTTTAATTCTTGAGAAGGATATATATAACATAAGGAAATGAGACATATTACTACTGAGATTAAACATATCCAGTCAATTATTGGGAGTAATGATTCAAATCAAAGGAATCAACCAACTGTACACTTGAGAATCATAATTGACAACCCACTCAAAAACCCGCATTTAGAGATGTTAATTTTTCCATCAAATTCATTTAGAGATGTTTACTAATAAGACAAAATTCACTAATGAAAAAACTGAAGAGATTTTTATCCATTCAAAGAAGGTAACTATAGGAATTTTTCATATTTTTTTAATAGAAATTTAGGTGATAAATTCAATGCAGGAATATCCAACCATAACGTTAAAAGTTTTGAAATAATTATGCATCAATAATAATGATATGGTCAACGTTTTTATCACAATACATTATCATAATTTTAAACTCTTTAGTTCAAACTGTTAGTGATAGTTTGACTGCTCCTAATGTCAAATTATTCAAATTGAGAATGTTTTGACTATTTGTGGAAGATAAAAATAAAAATTTGAATTCTCACGTGAAAAATAATACTAATGAAAAAATAGGAATATTATTTATTTTAAAGAGGATAGGATGTCTATGGAATTCTAAATCAGACGAAGAAAAAATAAATAAAAGAGAAAAATAATATTGTCAAAGAAATAGTAATAACTTAGTAAAGTTTGACATAAATTATATTATCTAGAAAGTTTTGAATTAACATAGAGTGTATTGAGGTCATTTTCAATCAACATTTCATATCTTATTTTGTTGACTTTATTCTATGAACTAAGTTACCCAAAGGTTGTAATATCCCAAATTCACTAAAAATGCACTATTTTGTTTTAGCTTAACCTATAAGTTGTTTGGATAGAAGAATAAGCTTGTTAATATATTATATGTTTTGTTTGAATATAAGATTAGGAAAAAAAGATTGTTGTGTACTCCTTTTCCACCACACACTCTCTGCATAAGGGGAACTTAAATTTCTCATTTCTCTTTTTATAATAATGAAATGTTTCTTTAGGGAATTCTTATATTAAGTTTCTCATTATACTCATCTCATTATACTCATGTATAATTTATTATCTAAATTTGAAAGTGAGATTATTATGTTGTATAACTTTTTAGTTCATCGTGTATAATTATACTGCTATTAAATACTTTAATTTAAAATTGTATTTTATTCATATCACGATAATTTTTTCTATATTTTAAAAAAATATCTCCGTCACACCTGGGCAAAATACTAGTGTTACTGCAAGGAAATTGTTATGTTTTTGTTTCTCTAAGTTGGATGAGGTTAGGAGATCTTAATATGTTTTTGTTAGGTGCAACTTTGTGAAAAAAAAAAAAGCATTTTAAAATAATATAAAATACAGCTGAATTTGGAACGAGACATAGAGTAGAACAAAAGGTTATATCTCATCTATTTACAGTGAAAATAAGATCTTCGGTTTCGAGTCAACAAAATGTAAATGAGAAGCACAGAAGTCAAGAATCTTTTCCTGCAAAATAAGAGATGCAAACGTCAAGTTCACTTCCTTCAGCAAGTAATGAAATGACGCATTGAATGAGAGTAATGCAAGGATCTTCCACAACTCTAGACTTATGCACATATGAACTACTTTCTCTCAAACTAATTGCTTTAAGAGGATATCATCTGCTACATCATGCACTTCTCATTCTCTAACTTAAACTGTTTCAGCATGAAGAATTCATCTTAAAGAAACCAAACTTTCAGATGTCATTCTCAACAGCCTTAGCTCACACATCCAGATGAATAAAATCTTTGGGATGATATCAGAATGGGCCAACAAGGAAAACTAAAAATTGGAATCAGATGCGAGATCAGTTTAGAACAGTTGATAATAATTAGCTTTACATAAGGCATGAGTTTACAGTTGGGAAACCTCTACTTGCTGTCTATAAGTTGGTAATCTACATTTCATATTTGGCACATCACTAGAAAACAAAGTACCAAAGTAGAGGCATTTCTCATGATTATGGTTTCGACCTTCTCTCTAGCTTGGGTTCAAGCTCATTAAATAAGAAAAACATTAGATAAAAGGCCTTTTGTCTGATGACAAAAGTTTCCTAACATTACCATATAAAATCACACAACATGAATTTGAGAGACGTGCATCAGTTTTGTTAGATTCTCATTACTGGCAAACTGCCTATGTTTTTATTGACCAATTACTTAAAATTTGACCCATCCACTAACTTGTTCGAAATATTTTTGGGGGAGGTAGCTAAGCTAATGGTCCTTTGGGGCAGCTTCAACCTAGAATTGAATCACAGCCAGGAAGCTTTGCCTTACCTTTTGGCTGCTATCTCCTTCATTCAAGGTCAAAGACCTCCTTTCTACAAACCAAAAGAATTCATATTCTATAGGATGGGCTTAATTGCTTGAAGACACTAAGGTAGAATTCAAAGGAATTTCTGATATTCCTAAACCAAATAATGCGTTAACCATGTCATGTTTGGAGGGATAGTCCAGGAATTTGAGAATTCAGAGTTAAACCATAAATTCGTTTAGGAAATTTAAATCAGTAACTCAATCTAGCTAGCAAACAGGTGGAGGAATGCACAAAACCCTATGAAAACACGAGGAAGAAATTTTACATTGAAATAAAGATAAATGCAACAATACCTTTATGAGAGCAGAACAACTGGTTATGGAATGTTTGCATACTTCTACGAGCAGAAGAAGTAATCAAAGACAAGTTCTTCTTCGTGTCAAAGAAGTCAATTCCTTTGATTGATAAATGCCTTTGCCTAAATTCAAACAATTTTCCACTGGCTTCTCTTTGCAAGTCAGAAATACAAGGTAAATTTCTCATCCAGCTAACCCCTGCAATATTAAAATAAGTTGTATCAAATCTGCATGGGTTTAAGAATGAAGACTCTGCATGAGTTTAAGAATGAAGGCTTGGAAGTCCAACATTCTCACAGAACATGAACTTTGTATCCGCTGTTTGAGAAAAACAGTTCCTGATTACCCCAAAATGCATACAAAAACTGACTTAACTTGTATAAGTGACACTTTAAGATAGCAATCAATGGCTTCACTTAGTAACAGAGATTTTTACCATTATAAGGAGCTACAAAGACAAAGTGAGCAGGGAGCCCAACTCCAACACCAGCAAAAGTGATGCCTACATTGAATCCAATGCCACAGCCAGCTCCAACATAGCCTATCACTTCAGGACCAAACCCAGGACCCCATCCAACACCACAACCAACGCCCACACCCATTCCCCAAAACGCTCCATAAGTTGGATGAACAGGGTTCCATCTTTCGTACCTTCTAAACAATCCTTTTATAATCATTAGGACCTGAGAACATTGATAAATAAATAAGAAATACCTCAGAAAACAAAAAGTTCGTTGAAGCGCCTAAACCTGCAGTCATCTCGCAAACTATAATAAAAGTTTATCATGACATGAGTCAGCATAAATGAATGGAGGTAAGAATCAATAGATATTTGACACAGCCAATTATCCATAGTGATCTAACAAAATGTCATTAAACTGTATTACAATCATCAACATTGTGTTTCTAAACTACCCAACAGACTAGAACTTGCTTTTCGACTTAAGAGCCTTAAACATATATTTTTGCAGTAACAACAGCCTCTTAAAACCATTTTGTGCCACCTCCAAAATTCTTAGTATAGAACACATTTTGATTAGGTTGAAAAATAGTCAGAGAGAACCAGTAAACAGGGAATGTATCGGACAATACATGTGGATAACGCCAATTGCAGAAAATATCCTTATAAGGCCAGCTAGAAGTTTGCATTGGACGCTAGAAGCATCATAATTCTCTACACACTTAAGAAGGATCATAAACTCATAATTCATAATTAATTCTTGGATGGTAATCCACAGTGGTTTCCAATCTCAATGCCAACTATAAACTCCGTCATCAAACCCAATTAGCCAAACTTCATCTTTCTTGGATATCTATCAATGCATATATACTATCTCACCTCATGACCATAACAAACACTAACAAGAGATGACAGTTTCATGGTTTCTCTTACATACATATATCCATATAAAGAAATCTCAAGAATTAAACCAAAAAAAAACAAAAATCAGTGAAGCCTACAAAAGGAGATTTGGTTTTCTTCCATTCAGCCACCATCCCTATAACAGCAAACAATCGAAACAGATTGCTGAACACTCAGCAGGGTAAAGAGTAAACAAACAGTGTGATTCACTAACTACGATAATGCGCCGAATACGATTTTCCAAGTGTTTAACGGTGAAACCAGGAACCTGAAAGTTGGGAGAAGAACCATAGAAGATTCTGGATTATAGGGCGAATCCAAATTTGACAGTTGGCGAAGAGAAAGAAACAAAGAGAACAAAGCACTAACAGGATAAGATAGTAGCAAAAGCACGTTGTGATTACATTACATTACATTACCTAAATTGTGGTGTGAATCAGTGAAGTCAAGACAAGAACACAGTATGGGGTTTTCTTATCTTATTGGCACCACAACATCATTATTTTTAATTGAAACAAACTTATAAGATATCCAATAAAAATATTTAAAACATATAAATAATGTTAGCCCGAATAAATAAGTAAAATATGTATGTAGTTTATGTTTAATAAAAATAATAATTTAAAAATGTTTCCTCCAAAGTCTTTTTTTTTATGAAAAACAGATTGTGTAGAACTGAAAACAATATAGACAAATTTCAACAAAATGTAATTACACTTCAGTTAGGTATTGAATAATGTGCAATGAAACAATGATTGACGTTTAAGATGTGTTAAAGCCATAATTAAGTTTAGTTTATTTCTTTATCAATGAAAAAATAGAAACAAGAAAACATTCTTTGCTAGCCAAATCACCCGAGAGGGAATATGCGTGCTGAAAAAGTTGAAAAAGAAGAGCAAGTCATTTAAAAACAAAATAATGTTTAATATCTAGAAAATTTTATTCATATTAATCTTATTATTTTCTACATTTTGTTAATTACTGGTTTATTTAAAAATATTTTAATTAAATTAAATTGATTTGTATAAAAAAATTGAATTTTTTTCAAAATAATTGAACTACATCGTTAAATTACTGGTCTTATTTTGCCACAATCATTTTGGGTCAGTTTGGATTGAGAAGAATTCATAGTTGAACCCATCCACACACAAAAAATTACAAAGTAAAAAATCAACTTTTTTTTCCTTTATTTTGTTACATTTTGTCTATGATTATTTTTACAAAAATAGACCACTAACTCTCGCTTAGTTTTCTAGTTCTATACCCTAAAATTTGCTTGAAACCTTCCGTACTCATTTGATTATATCATTTCAGTTTCTACTTTCTGCACCCTCATACTTACTAAGTGTACTCTAAAAGTTGTACTATATTTCATTTGACTTTTGACCTTTTAAAACAAATCCAAAACAAGTTTTCTAGGCAGTTTTAAAAAACAAACTTTCTAAAAATACTCTGGATTTTCAAAATTAGGTTTAATTAGTAATTTACTGTCTATATTTTTATATTCTTTATTGGTTTTGATATTTATATTTGTTTTTATTTAATTAAGTTTTAGTATTTATTAAATAAAGTTGATATAGTTATTTACCGTTAATGCCTGAAAGTATTATATGTTAAAATTTAGGTTATCTTTTACTTGAAAGAGTGTGATATATCAAAATAAGAGTGTTTTAAATTACAAGATGATCTTGATTTTCATATGTGACATATTTAAATTACATGTAATGCTTTCAAATAATGTTGATATTAATTTAATGAAATGAGTCATATTGAATATAGTTAATAAATATTGAAATTAAATTGAGTAAAAAATAAATATAAAATCAAAACGAATGAAAGACTTAAATATAGACACCAAATTATTAATTAAATATTAAAATTATAATATATTTATTGTATTAATTTAATTTTATGAAAATATAATTATAATGAATATTTTTAATAAATCAATACTAAATATGAATAATAATTAAGTAAATAAAAACATATAAATTATAAATAATAGAGATGAGTAGTTCACATTAGTGTTCACGCTTCTTCTTAAAATACAACTAAATAAAGTAAAATAATTAAATAAATTCAAAATAATTATTGGAATTATACTTTTGAATTTTATTCAGTTAAAAATACCCAAAATCATTTTAAATATTCTTAATATTAATAGGTTTTCCTTCTCTTTTAATTCTAAAATTTGATTTTGCGTCCGCTCCTACTTATCTCACCACATTAAACCTTTCTNATATTTATATTTGTTTTTATTTAATTAAGTTTTAGTATTTATTAAATAAAGTTGATATAGTTATTTACCGTTAATGCCTGAAAGTATTATATGTTAAAATTTAGGTTATCTTTTACTTGAAAGAGTGTGATATATCAAAATAAGAGTGTTTTAAATTACAAGATGATCTTGATTTTCATATGTGACATATTTAAATTACATGTAATGCTTTCAAATAATGTTGATATTAATTTAATGAAATGAGTCATATTGAATATAGTTAATAAATATTGAAATTAAATTGAGTAAAAAATAAATATAAAATCAAAACGAATGAAAGACTTAAATATAGACACCAAATTATTAATTAAATATTAAAATTATAATATATTTATTGTATTAATTTAATTTTATGAAAATATAATTATAATGAATATTTTTAATAAATCAATACTAAATATGAATAATAATTAAGTAAATAAAAACATATAAATTATAAATAATAGAGATGAGTAGTTCACATTAGTGTTCACGCTTCTTCTTAAAATACAACTAAATAAAGTAAAATAATTAAATAAATTCAAAATAATTATTGGAATTATACTTTTGAATTTTATTCAGTTAAAAATACCCAAAATCATTTTAAATATTCTTAATATTAATAGGTTTTCCTTCTCTTTTAATTCTAAAATTTGATTTTGCGTCCGCTCCTACTTATCTCACCACATTAAACCTTTCTTATTCCAATATGAAACTTTTATTGTTGGAATATGCATTTATTCATTCTGTCAAAAATAATCTACAATAAAAATATAAAATATAAAGTATCATTTAATTATTCAAAATGACATATTGAAGACATTTATTTACATTGTATTAATATTAGTGAATAATATTTACTTAACAATTATGAAAAATAATTGATTATCTCTATAAATCACATTGTCATAAACACAACAATATATACTTATGACTCCATAAATATTAACTATAAAAAATTTAATTAATATAAATAAACACAATAATATATAGTTATAATTCAATAAATGGTATAATTAATCCAACATAGTATTCTTGGATATCATTAATCAAACATAGTATTATTGGATATCAACATCTTAGTTCTAGTGAAACCTGTGAAGGTGGGTGAATTTTTGTTGTGGATAAGGTTCTTCATGCCAACTTGGCATCATATCATTGACAATGGAGTACTGCAATAACTCCAAAAAATATTATTCCAATTATAGATTCTAAAGTATAAGATACTATATTAATTTCTCAAATATATCACTTTCCATCTCTAGCTAGATCAATAAATAAGCATTTTCAGTCCAAATCCATTTAATATTTTATTTGTTTTATTATTTTTCTAACATATTCTATTTTGTTTTCTGAAATTTTCTTACGACAACATAGTAAATATACTTAATAATACTTAAATTAACTTTGAGTCATAATTTTTATTTTAAATAATATCTATTCTTACAAAAAATTGAATGAAAATTAATTAAACCCAAAAAGGTAAAACTTAATACATATGACATAATATCTAACTATTTCAAAAAGAGATAGTTTGTAGTGATTCTATATAGAGTTCATGTCAAATTGTTTTTTTTTTTCAAATTATAGATGAAAAGTAAACATGGATATCATAAGCTAACTTAACAGGATCTGACTTAAATATTATTTTTATTTTTTAAAATATATAATATACTTGTGATCATCACGTGTGGCAAACGTCATGAAAAAAGTTGGTCATTGGATGAGAAAAAAATGAAGAATAATTATAATCTTTTCTCTTTCTTTTATTAATATCAAACACACACCAAATTAGGAATACCATGTTCTCTCTTCTAACCCTCAATTAATATGTATATTTCCATAGTACAGTTTAAATAAACTGAGAGTCCCTTTTCATCTCATGTCTGATAATTTGTTGAAGGAAAAAAATGTTTGTTGAGCAAAAGGAAATTAAACTAAAAATTTAGATACCAGTAAAATATGGGAGTCACATTAGACAGAAAATGTATCCTAAATAGCCCAGCGTTTATGAACATACCAAAAACAAAGAGAATTGTCTTTGTTAATTATTGTTTATACCATCACCATGCTTTCATAACAGTACTCACACTAATTAAATAAGATTTATAGTCATTGATTATATTTAAACTTGCTTCTATCTGATTGTGATATAATCATACTTAAAAGAGTAGAATAATGTATTTATACATGATCAAGTGTGAGAAAACAACACTATATTATAATATGAAAATAATTTCATATGATAATTAATTGTTTTTATCTNGTCATTGGATGAGAAAAAAATGAAGAATAATTATAATCTTTTCTCTTTCTTTTATTAATATCAAACACACACCAAATTAGGAATACCATGTTCTCTCTTCTAACCCTCAATTAATATGTATATTTCCATAGTACAGTTTAAATAAACTGAGAGTCCCTTTTCATCTCATGTCTGATAATTTGTTGAAGGAAAAAAATGTTTGTTGAGCAAAAGGAAATTAAACTAAAAATTTAGATACCAGTAAAATATGGGAGTCACATTAGACAGAAAATGTATCCTAAATAGCCCAGCGTTTATGAACATACCAAAAACAAAGAGAATTGTCTTTGTTAATTATTGTTTATACCATCACCATGCTTTCATAACAGTACTCACACTAATTAAATAAGATTTATAGTCATTGATTATATTTAAACTTGCTTCTATCTGATTGTGATAGAATCATACTTAAAAGAGTAGAATAATGTATTTATACATGATCAAGTGTGAGAAAACAACACTATATTATAATATGAAAATAATTTCATATGATAATTAATTGTTTTTATCTGATATATTTTGCATTTGAATGAAAAATCGCTATTACCAACATAACCAACAGAATGGATACTTTGATATTATCGATTATTGAAATTTGTTGGTAATATTTGAAATTTGTTAATAAATTTAAATTATCGATTTTGTTGGTAATATTTGAAATTTGTCGATAAATTTAAATTATCGATAATTTATTGATAAAAAAGTTTTACCAGTAAAATTTTAATTGGTAAATTTTATTAAAAGGTATTTTATTCTGTTGATAATTATTGACGAAATATTTCATTATAAAATTTGTTTGTGATTATCGATAGAAAATTTTGTTCACAATATTTTTTGTAATTATTGACAA